AGTGAACACAATAAACCCTTTCACTGGACTTTTAAAATTAACCACATTTAAATCTAACGTCGTCTAATTCTCATTATGAATGAACATTTACAAAATAATCCTTTACTAAATATTAAGTGTCTTTTTCGGAAAATTTATTACTACTTTCATATACTGTCAAAGTCAGTTCATTAAATGATGGTCTATGATTGCTTCACCTGAATTATACATATTGCAACCAGTAATTTATCATGACGATTTATTGATATGTTGATTTCTTTTTACCATTAACACACCGTGTGTTACAAAAAAACCTATGCACACACTTTGGTGATAATTTGTTTATTAATTTGGTATTAAATATTTGACTACCGACCTCATTCAGTAATCACTATTATCAAATATTCAAACCGGTTTACAGATGCTTTTTCCCAAAAACTTTCTTTTACTGAGATACATATAATTATTCGTGTTCCGATAACTAACGACTTCAATTCACGGTATACTTGATCGGAAAACAAAAATTGATCCCAATACACATTCACTAACAGTAGGATTGCACGGTAATGCAATTAAGTTGGTGTCTTTTTCTTCAAAAGTCTAAATTTTTTTCAAGACTAAGATTACACAAAAAAATTTATTCATTATCATTAAATTTCAAATGTAAAAAATTAAAATTCTGACATCCAATCACAGCTCCAGATGTGATTTCGATTTCAACTAATCAGATTACAAAGATGAACAGTTTACGACCAATCATAAAATTATTAAAGGTAACAAAATGTTTGTTCATTATCACTTGAGCACACACTTGCAAAACAAGTCCACCAATCAACGATACCTAAATTTTTCATTCACACCCCACAATTTTTTTAAAAAGGGGGGTAGGGAATCATATAGGCCGGTTACTTAATGTCAACCATGGATGTTTATCTTCTGCTCTTATTGGGTCACTCGATTGTATTTGTTTCTGAAGCCATTTGGGTGCATGTTCACTCACTCTAATGTTGAGATCACGATTACTCCTCCCTATGTATGTGTGACCACACACGCATTTAAGTTGGCAAACACAGTGGGATGTGACCTTACCTTAAACCTACCCTGGTAATATTGACTTAATATCCAGAGTGATTAGGTTTCGCTTTGTGTTCACATTATTATTATTATTATTATTATTATTATTATTATTATTATTATTATTATTATTATTATTATTATTATTACTCTTATCATTATCCTTATCTCCTCTTACCCCGTTTCCTGTCTAGTTGACCTTTTAACAAGTATATGTGTGACCAGATTGTTCGAAATGTATTGCGCTAATATGTCATCACATAGTTCTGATAATCTTCGTCTTCTAATATCATTATCGAAATTTATCAAAGGGACTAATTGTTTTAAATTTTTGGTTACTTTGCTAAACGATTAAACACCTATTCTATTCAACACTTGAAAACTTACGATAACTTTAATTACATTGAAGTACCGCCTTTCTATTTACAGACCATCATATTTATTACTTGAAATCTTTGATTACTTAATTAAATTATGCAAAACCACTTCATTTTCATAGACTTTTACATTCGAAACTTAAGTAAGTTTGACCATCCTTGATAATTATATAATAAAATTAGTATCAGAAGGGGTTTTGTGGATATCATAGTAAATATAATAGTTGAGATAACGAGTCAATTGAAGCTAGATCATCATGAAAAACCTGGAAGCACTGGACGGCCATTGAGTTCTATTGTCAGACTCCTCAGCAGTGTGCATCCACGATCCCGCCTCGCGAGATTCAATTGACTCATAATCTCAACTATTAAAATTGTATAACACTCCTCTATTTTATCATAGACTACTAGATGTAAAAAAATTACTTATAAATGCAATTGTACATCATAGGAAAATGGTATTGTTGAGGAGAAACTTTTCTTCGCTGAAAAGACGTCTTTCTTTTTTCTTCTTAATGAATCACTAGGTTTCTATAGTTACTTTAAAGTCATTTTCTTTAAATAAGGAGTAATTGTTACATAGGCCGCACAAAGCGATCACTTTCCAAACGCATCTCAGAACACTATCCGGTTTGGCTTTTAAAAGGTGAATGTAAAACAACTACTAATTCTATACAGGAACATTTAATTAATTGTGGACACATTGCTACAAAGGATTCCTCTTTTAAAATAATCTATAGAGTCAAATAATTAAATAGAAGGGGTGTCGAATCAATCTTTTATGTACTGCTGAGGGTATTGGTAATCCACAAACTCAAGCTCGAACTTTACGTGCAAAAACGATTTGTCCAACCTTTTATCCTTCCTTAGCCCTAATTCCATATATTAGTAACGTTTCGGTTTTTTCTTCCTTTTTTGTTTTATTATTATTGATTCCTTAAATAAGTGTTTCTTAATTTTTAACCGTAATCAATTATAAGCAATGATGGATAGTGGCTAGCAGTGGAATCCAGAACACGCATTTCGTCCTATTTGGGACTCGTCAGCTGGATGTACCTGCATCTCATAGTTGATGTTCACTCTGTGACTCGAACCCAGTACCATTCGCTTTAAACGCCATCGCGTTATCTATTCAGCTACTGAGTCCTGATTGCATGTGCAATGGGGTGAATTTAAATTCACATATACTAATAACAGACTGATCAATTGCAGTCTTAAACCTCAATGGGAAGATACAAGCCAAACAATACCAAGTGAATGTAATCAATTATCATTATGACCTTTATGTTCGTCGTTTTTTTCTTCATATCTGTCAATTGAACAATTATCTGACCCGTAAATTATTTTCATCCTTATATTCTTTTCTTAGCCCTTGATTATTGTGTAACCGCATTTGATAATAAGAGTCTCGAATCTTTTCTATCCTTCTACAGACTTATGTATCTTCCATATAACTATAAATATGAATGTACAGTTGAAGGAAATGATTTCATTGAAAAGAAAGTTTTGATTGTTGAATTCACTTTTTCTTATTCAATGACACTATGGGTGGGTTATTTGAATTAATTAGAAGGCTGCTTTGATTCATTATAAAATACACTAAATAATTGTCTAAGAAAACAAGTAATTAAACTAATTGATCATCTGTTAATTGTTTCATGTTACATAACAACTATTTATATGTCTAAACTATCTTCTCAAAAAATAATAATAAAACAACCATTGACAAGTTAAATAAACAATCAATCACTTTATGTAAATCGATCACACAAAGTCACTGTTTTACGCATTAATGTTGTACTAAGGTGTTATATAATGAAAAGTTTTCTGATACTAATCAACATATGCTCACTAAAGACTGGTTTGGTTTCAAGAGGTATTTCCTCAAGTTCTAGTGAGAAACAGTGATCAGTGGAGTTCAACTTGGTCTGTTGTGAGATAGTAAATCACTGATGGCAATAGTGGATGTGTCGCTTAATTTCATGGATTAGTTGAAGTCAGACATTAACATAGTTGGATGCCGGCTGGCGCAGTGGTCTAGTGGTTAAGCGCACGCGTGCGAGTCTGGTAGGTTCTGGGTTCGAATCTCGCGAGGCGGGATCGTGGATGCACACTGCTGAGAAGTCCCACAATAGAACGAAAAGGCCGTTCAGTGCTTCCAGGTTTTCCATGGTGATCTAGCTTCAATTGACTTATGATCACAACTATTGAGATTTATTTATTCCCTTATATTATCAAATTGATCATATTCTATTGGTATACGAGTTTTTTTTTAAAAGAAATAGTCAGGCATTACACTTCAAGCAACATTGATCATATTAAATAATGATTGATAAACTGTGTAATTCAGATACCATCATGTTTACTTCTCAAATAAGTATTAAGGTGTTTTGATTTAAACAACAGAAGGGAGTAAGTGATGAGTTCAACCCTCAATTCAGTAAAATAAACGATCGACATAATAAGCTTAAAAGCAATCACGATTCAACAAAATGAAAATATTTCAGAGTTTGTTTTTCAGTGATATCCTTTACTTAAGCTGTACAATTGTATCGACATTTACATGTGATAGTCTATAACGAAATAGAAGGGTATTGCTTTATTTAATAAACTAATCAAAGGCTTCCAAGTATTGAACAGAAATTATGTAATAGTCTTGGGAGGAATAAGAAGTAATAATTTAAGGAAAAATGCAAAATATAACTGTTTACCTTGTAAATATAAAGACAGCGAAGAATAAGATCATAATTGGCATTAATTATTTGCACAATCAGAAGGGAGTACTGAGACCATGGTAGAATATTTCCTTATTACACATAGAGATCAGGTTAAAATTGATGGATTGGTATAGTCAGCCATGTGCGAACATTCTTTGATTTTATTTATTTAAACACATAAACATTGGTACAATGAGGCACCAAACAGATATGCGCCACATAAACAATTTAACTTGTGTGAAGGCTGGAATACTGCACGGGTACCTAAAGCGAAGCAGGTGGTTTTCTTAAGGGGCCACACCCAGAGCCTTCGAACTAAAGGTCTGATCCACAAGGCAGTGGAACAACGTAAGGAGATACAGTTCCATGGTAGCCGCTGACCAATAATTGGTTCATACGCCTTTTGTTCCCTCAGGATACTGAAGCCAATGTGCACCATTGGTTTAGAATCAGGGTTTTCCAAATCCCCTAGTTGGATCCTCCATATCCACCAACCAGGTTAAAGCGCCGGACATTCGCTTTGCGTCCTCTCAATTTCGTAAACAACACCCCTGCCGCGAGAAGGCAGTGAGTAGAGATAGTCCTGAACAATTATCCTCATGGAAGCACTTGATCAAAGTTGATCATGTGACCAAAGATTGGGCAGTTGATTGACTTATATTTCCCTCTAGATATTCATTTAGGTTAGTGTCCTGATATATCTGTATTTAGCAAATGAATGCTACTGGGGAAAAAATTTTCAAGGGTTTTCTGAATGAAAGATCCCATATTCCACAATGTAAACAACTTAGATCGGATCAATAAACATTGTAAAAATACTTTCACAATTTTATAAAAATTACTTCAAACTAACCGCCATAAATTTCTGAAGTAGAAGCGAATAAAAATTTGGCATTTGTACGACGAGCTAATCCTACCATTTCAAAGAAGGAAGAAAAAAACAAAATCATTTTGAATACAAACACAATGATATTATGATATACAAGTTCATAATCCAATGTATAAAAAAACTTTATCTGTTAACTTATTTTACACATTATACTATACCTATATGCCTATGCTCTTCCACGAGGAGTAACAGGCGTAAGTAAGTATACTCTAATAGATGAACAATAAAAGAAATATGAAACAGAAAGAAACATTAGAAATTGTATATAACTAGATTAGTATTTAAATTGAAACCTTAACTATTTCAAATCTAATGTGAATGCAGAATAATGGACTTAATTGTAGTATCCAAGACTTTGACTTTTCGACCGTTGAGTAAAATTGCATTTAATCTGATTTGATTGATCGGATCGTACTACAAATTTTACTGAATAAAGAGATTTACAATTGATTAGTTAGTGATTAGTGACTAATGTTATGTTTGTCTAGTCATTTACTGTTGGTAGAATTCTATCCATTAAGTTGTAATGTGGCTAATCGACAAGGTTCAATCAGCACTAAAAGACTAGATAAACATGGCATCACAGTCCTACAGAAGGTCAATCGTAGCCCGAATAACTCAGTCTTCTCGTTACAAACAATGAATTTGGGTGAAGTTGAATCACGTCCGTTAGGGGACACCAGTTCCTTCGAGATTACTGACGAGTACCAAATAGCATGAAACCTTGGTATACCTGTTTCCTGTCGAATACCTACAATTATCTAACCATAAAGGACTTGCTAAAACCAATGATGGATTGTCTATCAGAAATGAGTAAGATTTAAATAAGAAAAAAGTTTTAAAAGCCATCCAGTAAAAATAATGGAAGCTGTGGTCATCAGTCTAATAATGAAATTGATGAATAATACTCTATTCTCAGTGCATAAAGTGAGTATAAACGTACTGTGCAAGGCAAAAAGCAATAAGTTTAAGATTTCTTGCTTGATTTTATTATTCACAATGAAATTAGAAATATCTAAATCATATGATATTGGAAGTAAATGATGAATGATTACAGTGTTGACCGTATTATGAATCCATTAGTCTTAGATTCTTTGAGATGCATATAAAAATAAGAACAAGAATCCTATTCTATTTGTTTTCTGTACTTTGAAATACGTAAATTTATCAAATGGATTTGTAGTTTCACATCAAGGACTGACTAAAGTTGGAAACACGATTGGGATCAGCAAGCATTAGTCGATGGTTATTTTGCCCAATTCGGGACTCTTCAGTATTGGGCACCCGAAACCGCACAACAGGTGGGACCCAGGACCCACAAGTCTCATGGAGATCGCCTAACCTTCAGATAACTGAGTTTCCACCCAATCATCTACATGTCCAACTTCAGTCAATTTGCAATATTTCGCAACCATCATTCAGGTCTATCAACTGTGCTTGTCTCATGCCATACACAGATAAACTGCACTGGTTAAGGTTTCTCAACAGAACTTCTGAAATTCTCGTTGTAAGTACGTAGTTTATATTAGTATGAAAGGTTTGTAGTAAGGGATCTCGAATGAGTTTATGTCCGAAAGCACTTGCTGCTAAAATAGTATATGTCATATTCAAACAAAAAATTTATCTTTACCAGTCTAATAAAGCGAAAATATAATATATAAATGTAATCAAATGCTTTTGCAGAACCAGTAAACAATTAATCAAGACAACGTTACAGGAAATCAGTGATATAATATTTAAACGGTAAGAACTTTGATAAGGTTACATTCACCAAACTGGGCAGCTTAATAATAAAGCTTTCATTGAATTTCTAGACCAAGACAATCAAGGCCTACTTCAAATAAAAATGACCATTAGAGAATTACACAAAAGATGCTATATCATATCAATTTGTCCTAATAAGCATGTTAGTGATTGACGAGGACAACCAATCAATAATAGGGTTATTAGAATAGATTGATACAATACTTACAGGATAATTCTAAAATGGGTGTAACTATAATGTAAGGACACCCATGAAACCTTTCATAGTTTACTGATTTTAGAAAGTTTACTAGTTTTTAAAGGCTTATTTTGTTTTCGATCTTAATACTGCAAAAGTATGATTACATAATCTTATTTATTTGATTGTGAATATATTCACGACAGTGAAATGAAGTGATGCATAGAAATTGTCATTTATTTTAGCACTCATAGTTCACTACTTCACCTATTATTCAGTCAACATCAATGAGAAGATTTCTTCGAGACAAAGCAAAGCGAAACGAAAACTTATTGGTCTACATGCTATGCACAATTAACGTAGAAAAAAAACCAAACATCTCACAAGTTCAACGCTTATTATCACTCCACAATCACAAAAAGAAAAAATCCTTAGTAATTTTAAACAGTTTGAGCATTCAGTCAGTCAACTACAATGTAGGACCAGGTACATATATGCATCAGTCCAAGTTGTGTGGCGCATATATATCTGGTGCCCCTTTGTATCAATATGTATGTGTTAAAATAAATAAATAAACAGTCCAAGTTGCCATACCTCATTAGCACAACAAGATGAACACCAAATCCATAGAGGTAGTCACTTCAATGGTAGTAATGTATTAAAGAAAGATTGTGTATAAGGATATAGTACAGAAACAATTATTTCGTAGAGAGATATAAGGCGATTTTAGTACCACGGTTTAAGGGAAGACAAAGAGTGTATACACCGAAGCCATTGTGATGGATTCCGAGTCATGTCACTCAGAGTCTCCTACCATTGGTTACGATAGTCACGCGGACCCCAACAAAGTAGCTGCATCTATCAACATGGCTCAGCCCAGAAGTTAGTGACTTCAGGGAATGATGTCAATTTGAGCATTATAAAAAGACATTTCTATTTTGCTTTTCACGTGATGTAAAATACAAGTTATTCGTTTTTAAATTTTGTGCAAAAACCGAGTTGTTTACTCTATCCTAATTGCCTTTTCCTTATATTATAGTTGTATAGCAAACTATTTACTTTTATTCAAGTTAAAAGGGCTGTCGTTGTCACGACCTTGAGATGTATTCTGTCACTGAGGTTTTGACATGTATAACACAGTCACATAGTCATTATCAATGAGTCGTATGTCATATAACAGATCATCCGTAAGTTAATTGACTACTAGATACCGTTATCTATCTTTCCAATACTGTTAATAACGTTCGATTTTTTAAATTGACCATATAAAACTGTATCTAATGTTGACTATTATTAGAATATCATATTAATTTACACAAATAAATAGCATCAATTCAAGAAACATAATTTACTGGGTAGTTATTTTGTTCAGACATGAGAAGAATGAACAACAATTAGATAGAACTAGAAAAGAAGGCCCAGGACAGAGTGGGCTGGAGAATGCTGGTTGGTGGTCTATTCTCCATTAAGAGTAACAGGCATAAGTAAGTAAGTAAGTAAGTAAGTCAGTGTTTTGTTCATATTTTAGGACAACTCCTCAGAAATTTACAAATATAATTTCCTGTGTAAAAATAAAGATAAACTTGAACAGAACCACTGATACAGAAACAGAACTTCAACTTAAAAACTATTTATTAAACCCTACTGTCTTTACTTTTGACCTAATATTACATCTGCTTCAATTTACGTGTAATTGGCCAATGGAAAAAGAAAACTGTTGAATTATATCTAAACTATAAAGAATACAATATAGATAAGGAATGAACTAGGGTAAAATGAAAAGTATAAAACCGTGCATTTATAAAACTTAACAATATAATATAGGTTTATTGTTATAATGGTTTTCATTTTGTTAGTCTTGAGATAATGAGTTGTTTTTGTTTTTTTTTAAGTTTTAGAAAATTTATTGTTTACAACAAAAGTACAAATATTCATGGAGTTTTATTCTCTAAGCTGGATGGTTTGGTTGTGCAGATCAGAGAACAAAACTCCATCAAAATCACGCAAGTGACCTACAAATCTTCTCCACCATCTCAAAAGTACAAATAATTAAATGAATTTCATCCAATATATGTATTATGTAAGTAGTATTACTGAGGTTTGACTTGATAATTTCATTTGATGCATAATTCATGCATAAACTGTTTCTTCAAATAGGAAATTTAAATTATAGCTAGCTAGCAATCAAACCCAAGGCGCGAGTTTCCCTCGAACATCGGTTTCATCCACTAAACTAACCTAGATAATAGTATAGATGTTTACACTGAAACCTAAACTCATGTTGTGCCCTCCTGCTTTTGATATATTAAGGACTGTATTCAATTAAAATATATAAGTATATAAGCATTGAAACTTGGAGAACTACAACAACCATCATCAAGAAGGTATGAGTATTTATAAACAATTGTCTATGCAAGATATTCAACATCCATTGGTCGCATACCATTAGATACAGCCTTCTCTGAGAGAGAACAAACCAGATTCCAGCTGAACAAGAAATTAGGAAAAGATTATGGAAATGGATAGGATATACATTACGCAAATCATCAAACTACATCACTAATCAAGCCCTAACTTGAAATCCTGCAGTGAAGCGGAAAAGAGGAAGGTCAAAGAACACATTATGTCGGGAAATAGAAGCAGATATGAAAAGGATGAATAACAACTGGAAGGAGCTGGAAAGGATTGCTTTGGACAGGGTTGGATGGAGAGTACTTGCAGGCGGCCTATGCCTCTCGACGAAGAGTAACAGGCGTAAGTAAGCATTGATTTTTCCTACACTTAAAAAAGTGATTATAGTTTGGAAAATTTTCAACATTTGAATCCAAGAAATGCTTCACGTTCTGGTTAAGGTTTATCAAGTTAGTGAACCAACATTTTCAGTTACCATTTATTCTTAATTTCAAATTTGTGGATCGCTACTTGTTGTCGATTGTTACCACCATTGAATATACGGGCATCTTTTACGGATTTACTGATTTTAACATCGTATTACTAACAGCTAGACGTTGTAGTTTCGCTTAAACATCAATCAGTTGAGTGTTTAAAAACCATTGTAGCACAAAAAGCTAGGTGCTTTTAATACAATCATGAGGGGTTTAATATATTTCACAAAGAATTGATTTATTAGTTCGATTAACTTCCCTATTAACGTGTAGATGGTCACCCCCATCCACCCACACGGAAACATACAGATAAAATCCCAACTAAATCTGTTGTTAGAATTCGGGAACTGGAGAACAAAACTCCATCAAAACCAAAAACTCAAATGAAAATACATTAATTACAGTAATAAGAAATGATTTTTAAAAATACACGTTTAATTATCAATTGTTTAACTTACCTAACATATTTAAAGTACCCAATGTGTTTGCTTTAATAGTACGTATAGGATTATGCATATAATGTTGAGGTGACGCTGGTGAAGCTAAATGGTAAATTTCATCCACTAAAAAGGATTGATACATAAATTTTATCAATATGACATTGTTAGCAATTTTATTTAATTATTCATGAAAGTTCGTTTATTAACTCAATGATTAGTTAAAAATAATTTTATGTAAATGTAAAGCTGTCTAGTCCTAGTTTACGGGAACTTTTCAGTAATATATAACAATGAACATAAATGGGTTTGTACCTGAGATAAAAAAAGTTTGATAAATAATACGTTAATACAGAAGAGGTGAGGTGAGCATGATGTTGAGTTCGTAATTTTGCATCGCAAACCGATTTGATTTAGAAAACCTTAAATAATTGTGAATCACCTGATAGATGTTTCATCCCAGTATGATACATCTCATCGATGAATATCTACAACTCATAACTTTTAAAGTTCGTGAGAAGAACCTAAACTTCAGACCATAGGGTTGGGACATAATAGGTTGCATTCCCAATCCCAATCAGTTCGAGAAACTTTATGTCCATCATCCATTTCCACTGGTAATATATGTCTCACATCCAACAGTCAGTCAGTCAGCTACAACGTAGGACCAGGCACATATATGCATCGGTCCAAGTTGCCATACCTCATTAACACAACATGATGGACACCGGATTAATAAAAGTAGTTAATTCAATGGTGGTAATATATAAAAGAAAGATTGCAATGAAAATATAGTACGGGAAGAAATAATTAGTTCGTAGAAAAAAAGATATGAAGCGATTTTATTCTCTTAGTTTAAGAGAGGACAGAAAGTTTATACACCGACGCCATTCTGATCGATTCTGAGTCATGTCACCAAGAGTCTCCAACCATTAGTTACGATAGTCACGCAGACCCCAACCAAGTAGTCTGTTGGTAGCAACATGGCTCAGACTAGAAGTTGGTGACTTCAAGCACTGATGCCACGTTTTTGTTTGGCCGCCCCTAACTTTCTTCCAACCAAACCTAAGGTTCGAAGGCGAAGTCGTACTGCTGACTGTACAGAGGTGTGACAGCAGTAAGGAGTTTCCTTCACACAACCAGCATGACAGCGATGCTGCCTTCCCACAAGGAGGGTGGGGTTAGAAAAGGTCAACCCTAAAAATGCACACCTTGCCTTATCCCACGGATATTCGTTTCCGGCGGTAAGGTCCCAACAAGTACGGAGCTAACACAAAAATTACCCATAAGGTCGTATGTGACCGACCTCAAGTAGTTGTCCCTTGGGAACTGCGGTCACACTCTCAGGTCACTAAGACCACCCTCTAATCCAATTTCCTTTTCAGGTACCTCCAGAGGAACCCTCCCACATTGTGGGCAACCGGGAAGTGATAACCGCCCTCATACCTCTAACAGCACTCAAGACCACATCCAACATGGTTAAACTCCACTGATCATGACTTCTCAACAGAATTTAGTCGGTAGTAAAAATATGGTAAATGTCAGTAATAAGAATTATAGGTAATGTTGAATTTCGTAGTAGTTTCATTCATTTATTGGATTTTGTTGCAATAACGTGTTATTAGAACCATATATGTAATATCGCAACAAATATGTGCTTAACATATGTCCGAATTGTAATTATTCAAAAATATATCTTATGAAGTCTGTCCATAACCAGCATCTACCACTCATTTTCAATTGCAAAGGCTTTTTGCTAGTTCATATGGTACAGCTGTTTCTTCAATCTATCCTATCTGAAATGCATGAATTCAAATGTGTTCGCCACTTATTTTCCTAGAATGACAGATAATGAAGACATTCAAGTCAATAAATAAAGTTTTTTGGTTTAAGTTCGTTAATATTTATGATTGCAATAATTTCTAAGTGCTGAGAATTCTATATTGTACCAAAATATAATATTGAATAAAGCCATTAATAATAATAATTAATAATAATAATAAAGTCTTTTATAATAGCTCATGAGTAGACACAATTAGTGTTCACAATCATTCAATTTAAACAAATGTAAACTAGGGGGGTTCATTGTAATATTTATTCCATAAGTAAAGAGGTTATCTACGCAAGATATTCAACATCCATTGGTCGCATACCATTAGATACAGCCTTCTCTGAGAGAGAACAAACCAGATTCCAGCTGAACAAGAAATTAGGAAAAGATTATGGAAATGGATAGGATATACATTACGCAAATCATCAAACTACATCACTAATCAAGCCCTAACTTGAAATCCTGCAGTGAAGCGGAAAAGAGGAAGGTCAAAGAACACATTATGTCGGGAAATAGAAGCAGATATGAAAAGGATGAATAACAACTGGAAGGAGCTGGAAAGGATTGATTTGGACAGGGTTGGATGGAGAATACTGGTGAGCGGCCTATGCTCCTTCACGAGGAGTAACAGGCGTAAGTAAACAGGTGCTCTAGACGTTTGGTCAGACCACCTTACAAATTACCACTGACCATTCAGCTAATATAAGTTTGTAGTTAAAACTACACATATGTGTGAATTTGAGTTGAATTCTGTTGATTCGATGGTCTAAAAGCTTTGTGCTTGTATTTTATTCAAGCCGACATTTCTCAACAATGCTTAAAGCAACATACACTTTTGTAAACTATCACTTTTAGAAAGAAAAATACAATACTTTCTGCACAAACAATAATTGATATTGACAGATAATTCCCATTTAAACATTAAAAACACGAAGTTCAGCGAAGGGATCTATTTTCAACTTTATTATTATCCTATTCTTTTTCTTCTTCTTATTATTATTATTGCATTCCCCTATAATTATGCCTTATGTTCTCATTATTTTATTCATAAATACCCATCATATCACCTTATTTATTTTTACACCCCTATGACCTTTAATTATTGTGACTAAATCCATTGTTATTATTCGTAGTACGCAATCTAGTATTATAATCTCCCCATTACGTCATCTTGGTTATTTGTGTTCACATTTCCTAACGGAATTAGTACTTTTACGAAAACAAAATTTTCATATATATACGATCGTACAGCTTGATGGCCAATTCGTTGAAAAGAGATCCCTTCGTTGAACTTCGTGTTTTTAATAATCTATATGATTTCAACAGAATCTCATCATCTCTTCAGATTGGGTGTCTTTCCGAATACATAATTCTCTTGAACTGGTGCAAACACCTTTAGAATATTGTTTTAAATTATTAGGCAACAACTATAAACATAAGCACAGATAATATAATCACCTTCCACATATATAGGATTGGTAACATCATGATGTAAAAGTTCAAAATTACTATGTCCAATCCAATGTTCAATATTATGTCGTTTTCCTGTGAAAAAATTGTCAAGAGCTATAACCTCATGGCCATCTTGCATTAATTTATCAACTAAATGAGAGCCAACAAAACCGGCACCACCGGTTACCTAATAAGAGAAAAAAACTGATAGAAGTTAATCAATCATATTTGAGATAAACAGAACAAGTTGTGAGTCATATATGAAGAAAACTGAATAACTCAATTTTATCTAAAATCTGTCGAAAAATAAACCGAAAGCCCTATAGTTAAACCATCCAACTTGAAAATGTAACTTTATCGGAACTGAGAATTTTATGTTTGTCTGTTATGGATTTATTAAGACCCAAACCTGCTTCGGCTCGGGCACCCAAGTAGTATCACAGCCCATTGGAGAGCATCATATTTCTCGAGCGTTCGAATAGTCATCAGCACCATGATTATAAAATAAATGACTGACGTTGTGACCATAATTTATCATTTCCTGTTTTATTTCAAGAATATTTTTCAGGACCAATGATAAATGAAGAATGCTTCACTAGTGTAAGAAATAATGGTGTATTTAATTCAGTCCTCAGGACAAAGAAACGTCAAAAAACCAAACGAATATTCTTTGTTTAACCTTGTTTTTTACATTGTTTTGAGTTGGGCTCACAGTGATTAGTATAAATTTAGGCCATAGAAATTAGAGTTTGTACAATCGTTTGTTTACCCATTTATTTAAAGTATATCAATATTAACACACACAAAAATTACCCAAAAAAGAAGTAATATTGTGAAAATGTAAATAACTATCAGAAGAGATGCACCCGACTAGTTCTGCATCAACTCTGGTGGGTAATTCGATACTGACCTCAACCAAATCGGATTTCAGTGTCACAAGACCTTCGGATATGAGCATGTGAAACGTGTTTTCTGACTAACAGACGGAGGAGAAATCTATGTTACTTTATAGCAGTTTTGAGTACTAGTCACAGACATGTAGCACAAACCAATATCAAGACTTTCCAAAGACAAACCCGGACCTACCTGTTATTCTACTTACATAGAAACTTATATATTGGAGAGGTAGGGTTAAATGTATAGATTTAGGAAACCCGTATTGGTTTTCTACTCAGTGATAAAATTCAAAAATCAACCACTTGGTGAATCGAAACCTCTCTTACTGGACAGAACTTTTAACAGAGACGAGTTACTGGGTGAGTTAAAGAATAATATTATGCAAATAATATTAATAAAACATAATAGTAATCATGATGGTAGCAATAATAATTGCTTTGTGAAATATGGATTTTTCAGCTCACAATATGTCGACAAATTCCTCTTGTTATTTGTAGATATCATAATATGTTTATATACATACATGGGTAAAATAAGTAGGTGAAACTATATAAAGTTAAACATAAACCTTATAGGGAAGTAAGAATCTTATCTCCCAAAACCTGTTGGCACAATACGTGATACACGCGATATTTTATTTCCGTCTATAAACAAAATCAAATAGATGTCTAAAGCATAGTTATGTAAGATTCTTTCTTATAAGGTAATTGGAGGTACAACATGGTTGACCGATGATATGTAGACAGAATAGTTTCTAGCGATTATCCGCAGCTTTATTATTTTATAGCCTCGGATACTGTCTGAAAACTCGGGACAAAGTGAAGCTCTGCCAGACAAACACTGGAAAACTCGAAAAAACAGCAGTTTACAAGTGAAAAGATGGATTACCAGTATTCTTTTCTTCTTCGTCCAATGAAGCTGCTTGACCGGCAACCACTTCTTCGCACAACTAAACTGGTCAGCTGCTAAGGAGTTTGCAAAGCTGTCTGCTGGACATGTGTCACAGTCTACTACACTGAAATAGATCAAAGCAATCTGAACACTGAGAAAATGTTGAATAGAAACCTACAATCAAAGTCTCTAAGACTACGTTTGCCTTAGACGACATTATTACGGTAAACTGACGAGATTGTTTATCTACGCGCTAACTGTACAACTCCAGATTCAGCTGTCCACATATTGAGACTTGCGGGATTTACAGGTCACACAAGCAAAATTTCGTGTGATGGATTAAAACAATATACTGGTAAAGTAACGACAATTTTTAGAATTTTGACTTTGAAGCTTTGTTACTGATCAGTTGTTTGTTTATTGATCGGTGTTTTCGCATTTGTCTAAAATTACCTTCCAAATTACTGAATAATAATATTTAACTTGTTCAAATTGGCAGTTGAAACAATAAAAGAGTCTATCTCTTGATAAGTATCCATGCCTGGAGTTAGCGAATGTCTTCAGACAAGGATCTATACGCGTAAAGGAAACGGTATAGAAATGTTGGTTATTTGGTATATATATTATCCTAAACCCTTAAGAATATGTGGAGATAGGTCTGGCACTTTTTGGAAGCCCCATGTATGTTTATAGTTCCGCTTACGATGTTACATCTCTGATCTTTGGGTTTCGCACTCAAAGATGTTGGAGATTCAATAGGTATTTAAGAGAATAATCAAGAGTGTTTATGAAACAGCAGATCATAGAAATGACTCCTCCGAATCTCTTATACTTCAGTAGGTTGTTAACTGGGTTCATTACAAGCCTGAAGTTGAGTCCTCAAATTGATCTTGTGCCTCACGTATTCTTTTCGCTTGGGATCGAAGGATGAAATTATTTGTGTCGATACCCTCAATGAGATCCCAAAAAATTTAATAAAGATTTTTACTATCAAAACCACTCAAAAAGTGAGATTGCGAGCTTTACCCTAAATATATTTTTGTCGTAGCCACTGTAAGACTTTACATAATCAGTAGCGAAGATACCTAGATCTTCAACAATTGGTGACAGTTCTAGATAAATTACATTGGTTATGTCTTAGGTAGATACTCACTCACTTTGAAGCAATGAAACAGATCCAGTGTTATCCACAAAAATTTGGATTCAATTCAGATCCCAGTGATGTGCTAGTTTATCATCCAGTGTGCAAACTTCCCTTCAAAGCTTAAATTTGTCAAAATAATTATTACCTCATGGGATACTTACAAAAGAAAATCATTTCTGAGGGTTATAGAGATTGGGGGTTTTCGTACTGAATCCTGTAAGACCTAATTGTGGTTCTCCGTAGCCCATGAAAGAAAATTACGTACCCCGACTCGAAGAAAAATTATCGGCTTTGGCATGCCTACTAGGTTAGGCTTATTGATTAGGCAAGTGTGATTAATTATCCCTACCCTACACTTACGGTCAAGGATCGTGATCCAACTAGCTATTGCAGTCAATAGGTTCGTTGTGCAGGAATGGCAATTTCTGAAAATGCGCCAGTGAAGTGAGAATAAGTCAATAGACACTAGACATTTCCATGAGCCTCCATAAATTAGTCACTCCATAACCTTTGAGTGCATATAAAGAAATACTACTTTGTGATAATATGAAAGTTTATTGCATCTACCTTCTTTGGAAAATGGTGTGGTGTGTAACAGCTTCTAATTTTCTGCGACCACGCCCCTCTATACGGAATGTGAGGACATTACACTTATGAATTTTGTAAATATTGAATCCGCTTCCCTCGTCATGACAGAGTGAACCAAGTCTAGATCAGGGGGTATATCCCTGTTTAGATGGTGCAGTTGATGATATACCATTTCAGGGCTTAGATTCACGTTCAATACTTCACTTGGACTACATTGAAGCACTTACTGATATGTTTTAGAGGTGAGGGTTGAAATGTACAAGAATATTGTTTTACCAAGAGCTCTGTTTCATCAATGTTTTTCGTGTTCTGGTCATTGTGAGCAAACAAACAGGAAATTTTGGCCTCGGTTTGACCAAAAGAGATCACATGAACAAACGTTGTTTATCACAAATACATCCAAATTCACTTAAAAATGAGTGAATTTCATGACAACAGTTTAGGAACATTTAAATACCTCAAGATTCTTTCGTTATATAAAGTCACTTCATGGTTTTAATTCGAAACGCACATTTATCCTTGTCTCATTTATCCGAATGAGCTGTAAGTTGGTGACGAAGAAATTTACCTACACAGGCGTTTTTTGTTAGATAGTTTCTAACTATTCCACACTTTTTATTCTTGACAGATCATAAATGGTATAGTCAGTCTGAATAAATAGATAGATAGGCGATGTTTTTACCTGACATTTCAAATCTAGTGTTGTGGTGGAGTACACTGGTGTAGTCCAAAATCTTTTATCTACCATCCCTAAATAACATTTATGTTGTAATTGCTATTTGCAGCTCATACTATTATTCTAAATACTACTGACTCTATGCTGATGAGAAAATAATTTTCAACATCTGTTGCCGGTCCAATCTGTGTCTAGGCGATAATGAGTGTATTTTTCTAGATATTGGTATAACAAGCAATTAATGTATGAAGTAGGAGACATTGTAGTAGATCCCAGTAAAACGTTTATTCAAGATATAACGATACGCCCAGTTACCGATGATATACAAAAAAAGATTAACCCTACAAACCCAAGTGTTTTTTTCACTAGTCAAGCAGAACAGTAACAAATGACACTTACAACGAAACGGTATATTAAGTAAAAAAATGGTAACACTTGTTATGAAATAAACGTTACTTGTAAGCTGCTTCTGGGATAACAACTGCAAATGATTTCAATTAATTAACAAAGGTTTCTCTGCATGCAGTGACACCATTGGCGTGATGAGAAAGACATAGCCGATAGTATTATTTGATAATAAACCGGGCCAAAACTCCAACAGTATTATAATTTTCAATCACAAGTCGTGGCCAATAAATTAGAATAACAGACGACAGATAGCTCTCATTTATAATGATCGCGGTAATGTGTCTGTAGTGTCGGTTATTATTTTAAGCCCATATACCTTATTCTAGCTTACGGACAGCCCATTCTATTCATTCTACTTGAGTCACATTCTGACCTTGTTATTTATTCGCTTATCAATCTTGACTGTTTTTATATGAGCGCGGCAGCTGTGTGTACACTTCTTATCCCATTACTCATCACATGTCTGTAAACTATTTTTGTATGACTATAAATATTGATTAATACTTGGTTAAATGGGTGTTGGCTTACCAGCCATCTCCACTCTGCGTCGTTTCTCTTCCTTCTATTCCATTCGCTTTATACACAAAATATATGTGTTCAAAAGTCCATTCTCGTTATTTGACTTATTTAATTCCGTTATTGGATAACGCGATTCAAGTCTATGATTATATACGAGGATAGGCGACATATATATTTCGACGACGATCATTCATGCGATCTCCTTGGGGTCAGAACTTGGGCCACTAAGGTGAAGAGTCCGTCAACCTACATCATCCGATTTAAATGACGACAAAGTAAAGGGCCCCACAATATGTCTTGTATTAGCACAGTCAATCAATCGTATCCGATTTTTACCACTGTACAGAGAAACAATAGATATTGAACATAAATATTATTACGCATAAAATGTCACAAATAAAGAAAAAGTTGTGGTCTTTATTTTGTTGTTACAAAAATTCATTGGATATACATGTCACTACAACATATGGCCACTTATATTATTTAACATACTAGCCGTTATATCATCATGCCCTCAAGTATATATGTTTCAATGTCCTAATTGCCTTAGACGCATGCTGCACAGTAAAGTCTACGACAAGAAAAATTGTTCAGAACATTGTTCCAGCTATTTAGCATCACAAATCTATATCTACCCTATTATCTGGTGACTCAAAGTGTTGATTTGTAAATCAGCTATCTCTTATCGACCTTTTCTTAAATAACCAACTGAAAAGAAAAATGGCTTGCTAATCTGGTCATTTTTCAATTACTGTCTAAACAATTAATGTCTAATGTCCAATGCCATTTTCTTACACGAGCTTCCACTGTATCTGTTTTAACCGGAGGATGGCCGTTAACCTGTATAATTTATCTTGTAGAATCCAAACTACGGTTTTGATAGATGAATAGCCGTCCAGGTACGTTAGACACGCGCCCTTTCCCGTCGAAATCAAAACAAGTAATCGGGTAAATAGCGGTTCTATAATTCATCATAGATTTAAATGTAACTCGTTACCTAAACAAATATTACCACCCGGCTATTCAACCAATAATGGTTCAATCAATCAAATCTAAATTACAATAAATAAAGTTGATGAAAGATGAGGGAAAATTACCAGTCACAACAAATGAACGTTATTCTATCCTGACTGGATAGAACACACAAAAGGAAGAGCAAATCAATATGGCTACGGCCAAGAACAAGTGTCAAGTAAAACAACACAGATGCAGTTCGGTTTGAAAAACAAAAACTATAATAAAAAAATACAAGTATTAACAATTCAAATGTAATCAAAAGACAACAGCGTACAACTAAGGGGATCAATAGGAACAAAGTGCAAGTATATACATGGAGGGATTTTCACAAGCACACAAAACATTCAAAATGGATCTTACAATCTGTGTAACAACATAAATTTAAATTTATGGTCTAAATACAAAAAACGATTTAAAAAACTATTTTTTATTACATTAAACCAAACCACTACGTTTTTCTGTGAAATATATGAAGTTTTGTTAAGTCACTCACAATCAACGATTTAATCAAAACATAATTTTTGTGCACAATCTACGCGGTACCATATGGTGAAAACACATTTTGCCGGAAAAACGCTAAATAATTCAACAATCACGTTCATCCACCACTCAATAGCATTTTTCCGGTGCAAAATAACGTGTAGACTCAGTGAACTGTTACTGGGTAGTTGGGTCACTGAATATCGAACAAATCATTGAATTCTATCAAAATCAAGGACAACTGATCGTATTCCATGTACTGGGCCGTGCGATAGTGGTCACACTATTTTCTCTGTACTTATTCTTACTAATATATTTCCGTAATAACGTCTTTTGTGTTGCACGATCCTTGAAGCATCCATAGTACCTTGATATGAAAAGGAAG